TAAAAAAAAAAAAGGTACCATGGACTAGAAATCTTTACGTTTAGTCATCAGTCTAGATCAGCAACGTTCGATTGAGCTCTTTAGGATAAAGAAAATTACCTATATTTTGTACTTTGCTGTACAGTCTCCACAGGTCACATGTGAAATTTGGAATGTGATTAGTGCAACCTGAAAAAACTAATTTTAATTAATTTTAACTTTTTAAAAATGCCTAATATCTATAGCTTGAACACAACAGATATACAGCATCTTTTCAAAAAACTTTTTTCTCTTTTTAACAAATTTTATTTGGGTTTGCTTACAAAGTTCATATACAGGGTGTTTCACACTTTTCTTCATTCAGATTGTGTTTCATACAATCATTCCCATGCATTATGTTTTATAAAATCAATCACCATTGGACCTTGTCCATCATTATCCTGTCTTTTTACCCAGATTCTTCCCATTTCCTTCACCATCTCCCTCCACCTCCCCAAACTGTGCAGCCCTGTGGTTTTGCCCCTACCCATCCTCATTCCTTCGCTCCCATCCCTTCACTCCTTGGTCAAGAACTTGGAAATAGCCCAAATGTCCTACCACAACTAAATGGATTGAAAAGTTGTGGTACATTCACACGAGGGAATACTATGCAGCACTCAGAAGCAGCGATGTCAAAAAATACTACATAGGCTGGAAGAAACTAGAAAGCATTATGCAGAGTGAATTAACTCTGTTTCATAAGGACAAATGCTGCATGTTTGTAAATTAATTATAAGGACAAATACTGACCACTATTGTAAAAATAGAAGGATAACTTAGGTAAAACATATATGGTACAACATTGTTTGAGTCTTTAAGTTTATGTTGATTACTTTAAGAGTTCAGAAGCTGGGTGAATGTATTAAGATTCTAGAAAAATTTCAAAAGAGCTTCAGAAAAAATGGGGTAATCGTGGCTAAAGTCTTAGAATGGTAGGGTGAGGACAGTAAAAACTCAGAAATGGATAGGTAGTTATAGTAAAAGTATATCATAATTTTTCTTGATTTCTTCCCTTCTCTTTGGCTACTCAGCACTTCAGTGCAATATTCAGTCTCTACTGACTTCCATTTTGGTTTTCTTCCTCTGTCTTTGTAATGATCTTTTCCATTCTTCATGGATGATATTCTTGATATTCTCCCACAGTTCAGCTGGTCTTCATTCATGAGTGTTCAAGGTCTCAAACTTGTGTGAGTTGGTTTTTCAATTCAGATGGGATAGACTCAAGATGAAATTTTGATTCCTGTGGATTTGATTTGACCTTCTTTGGCTTTAATTTTGACTCCCATATAAGTAGTTAATAGTATATTCTATTATCAGCACCTGGACTAATTTTCACTGCTAATACTGAACTTCTCCAATGATTCCTTCCACAGATATAGTTGATCTGATTCCTGTGCATTCTATCAGGCAAAATCTGTGTGTATAGACTGTGTATATGTTTCTAATAAAAGGTATTTGCAATGAATAAGTCATTGTGCAGAATTCTATCATTCTATCCCCAGCCTCATTTCAGTCACCCAGTCCATGTTTTCTGACTACCGATCCTAGGCCAAGATATGGATTGAAGCTCAATGTCAAGAAGACAAAGATTCCCAACTGGTAGCACCATGCTAGATGGAGAAGAGATTGAGGTTGTTAACAATTACAGCTTGCTTGGCTCCACAATCAGCACTCTTGGCACCAGCAGTCAGGAAATCAAAAGTCGAATTGCACTGGGGAAAATCTGCTGTCAGGGACCTCTCCAGAGTAATGAAGAGCAACAGTGTCAGTCTAGAGACTAAGGTGCGCCTGATCCAGGCCATGATCTTCACAATTACTTGCTATGCATCAGAGAGTTGGACAATGACTAAGGATGACAGAAGAAGAATGGATGCCTTCGAGTTGTGGTGCTGGAGAAGCGTCTTGAACATACCATGGAGTGTCAAGAAAACAAATAGGTCTGTCTTGGAGAGGGTGAAACCAAGTTTCTCCTGGGAGGTTAGGATTTTGAAGCTCCACCTTACATACTTTGGGCACATGGCCAGGAGAGATCCGTCCTTGGAGAAGGACATCATGCTTGCAAGTGTGGAGGGACAGCACAGGAGAGGAAGACCCCAGATGAGATGGATTGACACAGTAACTGGGGCAATGGGAGTAGGTGTTTCAGAGTCAATGAGACTGGCTCAGGACAGGGCAGGCTGCCAAGCTGTTGTACAGAGGTTTGCTATGAGTTTAAGGCAATTCGATGGCCCATAGCAACAACAACAACATATTGTAACGTCTAGTGAAGGAGAGGAAGACGTTCAAAAAGGTGGATTGATACAGTGACTGAAATGAGTATAGCAGAGATGATGAGAAAAAGCAGAATAGGATAAGGTTTTGATCTGTGTTCATAAGGTCAGTAAGAGTCCTGGTTGACTCAGTGGTACCTAAAAACATAATATCTAGGTTTTACGAAGGGATCCTGAAATTTTAAAGATGACAATTCTGCAGGAAGTCTTTATTTTCTTTTTAATTTTTATTTTATTATTTTTATGTGTGTGTACCGTCAAATCAGATCTGACTGGTACAGGAGGGGATTGTCCCTCCTTTCTCGGCAGAAGATCTGGTGGATTCGAACCATGCGCCTCGGGGATTGCAGTGCAGCTTCTTGCCACTAGGCCACCAGAGCTCCCCCTGCAGGAAGTCTTTAGTCTCTGCTGTTGTCATCCTGGAGGAGCCAGGCTGTGTTTAAGAAGGAAGAGCATCCATCAACGAACTCTTCTGACGAATAGATCAAAAGTTCCCACTTGGTAATGTGCTGAGGCCAAGATCTAGCCTGAGACTGTGCTTGGTGTCTGGTGAGATCTGCGAACATCCAGGTAGATAGTGGGCTCAAATGATGAAGACTTGGGCTGAGGGAGGTGGGTGGGACTCTGCCCCGTGTGCGGGCCCAGTGGTTCAACTGGGCGCAAGTCACATTCTGTGCTTCCTCTTCTGGAAGGTCCTGAAAGGAAAAAAGTGAGCCAATAAGAAGTAAGAGTACATGACTAACAGAGAGGTCTTTGGTGGCTAGGCTATATAGACGGTATAGGCTGGAGAGAACTCACCTCATCACCCATCATTTGGTCTTCCTTTGGCTCTCTGTGCATAGAAGAAGCATCTGCCACTGAAAATGAATTCAAGATCTTAGAAGAGCCCTTCCATGTTGGATTTCCTGCGTGTGGGGACACCGAGGCCAGAAAAGGCAGTAGCTGCCCTGGGTCAGTCAGCGTGAGTCTGTCTAGTGCACTAATTTGAAAGAATCACCCTCTCACCAATTCTAGACCCACGTTGACCACCCCAGGATCCCCTTCTCACAACAGGACCTCCCAGGGGTCAGTGACTTTTGTAAAATTAGGAAGAGATACAGAGTGGGCAAGAAAGGGTTCTCGGTGAGAAAGAGAAGGGACAAAGGGACCAGGACTCTCTTTGGAAGGTGTCCCTCCACAAAGCATCATCGCTCCGCCTACAAGAAGTGAATACACCGTCACTCCTGCCTTCTCTGTTCATACATCCAAACTTACCATCTTTAGGACAGCACCAGAGAAAAATCAGAGCAAGGAATAAAACGCCAAAGCCTACAGAAGCCACTGAGATGCCAATGAGAAGGTGCAAGTGTCCGGAGTGTTCATGAGGAAGAAGCGAACCTGGCAATAAGACGTTGATAGCAGCCTGTTTACTCACCACGTACTTTGTATCCAGTTCTACTGGTGGTGGTTGCTGTTGAATGCTGTCTAGTCAGAACCGACCCACAGCTGACCCTCCAGAGGGTTTTCAGGGGCAGTAACCCCACGGGAGGAGACTGCCCATCCTTCTCCCACGTACGTCTCTGGTTATGCTGGAGTCATGGCAAATGTTTCTTAAATCCTCCTACCGTTCCGAAAGCAGACGATTACTCTATCAGTTTGTCCAACAGGGGCAGGTAAATCCAAGAGAAATGGAATCAGTTACCAGCTCAAATATCTGCTATGTGGAATTCTGAAGCCAGGTCTCCTAGGCATCAGTGTGTGTGTGTGTGTGTGTGTGTGTGTGTGTGTGTGTGTGTGATGACACAAGACATTTTATTTTGTAGTTACCACCTTGCTTCAGTGCTAACTGAAGACCCTTTCTCACTGCCCTCCCTCATTCTACATCCCAAAGTTGAACAAGACGGGCGTAGAGACTGGGGGATGGCTCTGTGCTAGGCGACTGAGACCCAGCACTCACTCTCTGAAGGAGTGAATCCTGAGACTTTTAGCTCCTCAGAAATTCGGGAGAAGACTGAGGAGTATCCTTTGCTCACCAATGTTGGTGTTTGGTTCCGTGGGTGACAGGTAAGCACTTGTAGCCGTTCCTAGAAAGCAAGACAATGAGGACGGGAGTGAGTGTTCTATTTCCTGGAGTGTGTTCTCATTTTCCCCCTGGGAGGTTGCTGCACCGCCCGTCCCTGGATCTATCACCCACCACTGGCCTCCATCTGCCAGAACATTCAGGGAGAACAATGCCCCTGCCACCGGGACGATTTGATAGGCAGAATAATATACTCAAGATATATAGCTGTATCTATTATATAGAGAGACATCTATCTATATCTATTATATATTTTTGTTGTTGTTGTTGAGCGCCGTCGAGTCGCAGGCGACACATAGCGACCCTATGAAGGAGAGTCCTGGATGCTTGGGTGCCTGTCATCCTCTCTCCAGGTTCATAGGGTTTCCGGAGGCAAACTATCACAGAAGTGGATGCCACTCCTCCCTCCAACTATTATATATATACATCTATATATATTTATATATAGATATCTATATATATACACACACATACATATATATTTATTATCTTAAGATTGCTCTGAAAAGTTCCTTTTCCTAATATTTGTACTGCTACCCTACACCAGTAATGA